CCAAAATGTCTAGTTATGCTTTAAATATTTGGCTCATATGGGGTATGATCATATCACTATTGGTGTCGATGGATTCATCTCAACAAGACAATTCATTTGACTATAAATTTATTAAAAATAAAATTCAAATGATCGTAAATTTAATTTCAAAAGTTTTTAGTTCAAATATGTATTAATATTCATATATGATCAATATTTTTTATAAGACATTAAACAAAATTATGGTTGTGAAAATAATTTTAAAATAGTAATTGAAACAACCAAAAAAAAAAATCTTACCAAACGACTGTAATAAGTTTATGACTGATGGGAAAGGTACGACCCTAAGTTAGCAAATGCCGTTGTCATGAATTTCTCAGCATTGGTTAATTATTGGCTTATTCCATTACAACAAGCAATATACATTTATCATAAGCAAAGCTGTTGACCAAAGGCTTGATTTGATGAATAGCAATCCAGAAGCGAGAAGCCTAATTTAGTACTCATGAAAATTAGGTCATCGTCCAGCTAACAGTAAGGCTGCAATTAATCAATGCTTATTGTTTACACTGTTACGCCACGATCTAATCTTAACATTAAAGAAAAAAAAAATTCAATTTGTCAGTACAATTTCCAACCCAAAATGTGAATCTCAAATGACACACAAACCTTTCACTTGCTGAGTCATTTAAACTAAAGGAGGCGAACATTTGGACATTAAAATGATGACATATATCATAACTTTCTAGCAACCTTATTTGATATAGACATTTTTACCAAAACTATTGCACCTATAATGTGAGGAACATTGTAGTCATCATGATCAGATAACCTGTTGTGGCATGAGTTGATTCTGGTAAGTGACATGAGCATTCCATATTCTCTGTAAATGTTTCTATGTGTGTTTTCAACATTAGATCAAGTCCTAAGAATCATGTGTGAAACATCCCCGAGGAGCTCTGCAACACTGTCTCTCTAGGCACTAGAGCATTATCCTCTCTATTTCTAGGTATAAAAAATGAGTTCATTGGGAGCACCATGGCTTTCGAGTTGGGCATTGTAACATTTTGTTCTCTGTATTCTATAGTCTGTTTGAATTCTCTTGGTGTGGTTCCCCATAAATAAATTTGAAAGAATTATATCTTTTATCTTTTTAATTAATTAACCAGAGCTTTCTATAAATCAATAATATACTCAAATATCCAACGAAAGCAATTAAAATTATACACATCAAAATACTTTATTACATTCATTCTCTCAAAATTAAAATATAATAGTAAGAAGATCAGTACAATTACTAGTCTATCACAAACTCCTGACTACAAAAGAATGAAAAAAAAAAACATAACATAATCTAAAGAAAGATATGAGAATCTCAATCAACCTCACTCCACCTCGTTCTTGCCCCTTTCCTGACTTGACATTATTTAAAATCATATAATGAGTCAAAAAGCCAAACAATAAACCAAACAAACAAAATGCCCACAACACTAGACATTTCATTCCAACTCAATATGATTATTTTCTTTCCAATGTGGGCTTGTCAACACCTCCATTAAGTTTGCTTAACTTCATGCTCATTAGTTTATCTCAAATTATAAAAGGCACTTACCACTTCTTTAGAATTTGTTAGAATGTGAGAAAGAGAGTGTGTGACTCTAAAAATAATAATTTCAAAGAGTCTCCAGAAAATGCATAAGATATATTTATTACTATCATTCTTTCAATATTTAAAGATTTGTAGAATGGCTTCTACCTTGCTCCATTCTAAATTTATGCGAAAGATTTTTCATCCCTATACTAAACTTATCCAATGTTTCAAGGAACCTTTTTTTTTTTTTTTTTTTTTTTTTTTTGGGAAATTTTGGGGCCAAAGCCCATTCATTAAAACATGAAAATTACAGTAAAGGTTCCTAACTTATCAAAAACAAGAAGGAACCAAAAAATGAAACAAGAAAGTAAAAACCTATACCACCCCCAATTACAAGTAAAAGAACCAAAATTGTGGTATAACAAAAAAAGGACTCAGCTATTGCTACAGCCAAAAATGGGCAGCCCGGGATCATTAGGATCATAAAGGAGCTCCTGGTTGCCAGAATTTGGCCCTCCAAGGAGCGAGGCTGCAGCGTTCATCATCGTCCTGCAAAAAATCTCGAACAAAAATCTGAAATTGCCCCAACCGATGCCAGAGTCGGCGGCCAAAAAGGAAAACAGCAGCAGAGAAGATAGCCAGGCAACAACAGAGGTGCACCAGCAATAGCAAACACAATAGCGGGTCTTCAGAAACCATCTCTGGAGGGCAGTCCAGCAGAATAACCAATTAATCCAGCAGGTACAGTAATTCATGAGCATTTTTCCAACTCAGCAATTTCGCCCGACAAGCTCTCTTAATTTTCCTAGCCACAGTGGTGTGGCACTCAAAAATGTTGCCAAAAATTCTTGGAGGGATTAACTTTAAGACCAGAATGGGTCTGGAAAAGCTCCAAAATAGATTTAAGAGTTGCGGCTTCATCAAGGTTAGCTTTTGAGAAAACAAGTAAATCATCAGCATAAAGTAGGTGGGAGATGGATGAGTTACCCATAGAGATTCCCCTGAAAGAGTGAGAAAGCAATGCATCCTCAAAACAAGCAGATAGCCCATCCATAACAATAGAGAACAGATAAGGAGACAAAGGACAACCTTGTCTCAGTCCAGAAGAAGAGTTGAAGTAACCTTCCAAAGAGCCATTAATAGCAACAGAAAAATGCACCTCAGAAATACAGGCATGAATCCAAGAGATGAAAACAGAGGGAAAACCCTTTGCTTTAAGACGGGCAATGAGAAAATCCCTTGAGACTGTATCAAAAGCCTTATGTATGTCGAATTTGGCACAGAAATAAGAGTCTTTTGTGTTGCTGTTAAAAGTGCCAAGGAGCTCCGTAGCTAGAATAACATTGTCAGAGATAATTCTATTGGTAATGAACCCGGCTTGAGCCGGGTTGACAATAAAAGGCATAACATTTTTCATTCTAATAGCCAGCAGCTTAGCAATAATCTTGTAGAATGAGTTGCATAAAGAAATTGGCCTATAGTCATTCACCGAAGTTGGGTGAGTGTGCTTGGGTATAAGAGCAATAGCAGAGTGTTTAACATGTCTGGGCATAAAAGCATTGTTGAAAAAAGACTACACAGCATGACAGATTTTATTGCCCAAAATACTCCAAGTTGCTTTGTAGAACTCAAAAGTAAACCCGTCAGGGCCAGGTGCAGTATTAGAAGGAGAGGAGAAGATGACCTATTTGATATCTTCAGTAGAAAAAGGTGCTGTTAAACTAGGAACCTTTAACCATTGATGAGCAGCTACAAATGCAAAATAAATGTTAGAAAGTCAACGTAACGTCCTAATTTCATGTTGAGTGTCGTAATATTTTAACATAGATGGATTCGAGACGTCTCCTCAACTAAAAAAAATTTAACATAACAGATTGATAAGTGAGAATCACAAATTAAAACCAATATAGTAATTAAAAAGAAAAAAAAAAGTAGTAAAAAGATAAGGAAGAAATTACTTATAAATAATCACATTTCGTGAAGGCCAAATTTAATTAAGAAATAATTAGGTGTCCGTAAAGAAATAGCTATCATGAAAAAAGTATAAAAATAAAATAAAAATAAAATAAAAAAGGGGATAATAATGTTAGAAACTGCATAATTTTGCAATGAGAACAGATTAAATATTCATTGATAAAAATATTTTTTCACAAGTTTTAAATCAGCATCAATTGTCTCGATCATACATTTGAGACGTCTATTTATTAAATAATTCTGTAAGGAAAGAACTATGTGCATATATATAAAAACAATTTTGTTGCCAAACAAAAGTCGCAAGGAAGGACTTGCTAGCCTGCACGTGTTAAGAAATATATAAAGATCTGATCATGACAATGGTGTTCTACTCTTCCATAGAAACAGACTTTCTTTTTTTTTTTTCTTTTTTGGAAAATTTGGGGCTTAGACTGTATATTTAAAAAAAGTAGAGATTACAAGGTAATACAAAAAACTGCTATGAAGAAAATACAAGTAAACCAACTCAAAAAAACAATCAAAAAGGGTGAAAATAGCACCTCAAAAAGTCAAAAACCCAAAAGGGGGCTCAGGTTAAAACGAAACCGACAGGAACGAGCATCAGAATCAAGGCAACATATGCTCAATGCCCACAGGAAGCAGCGGTCAAGCCCCGGTTGCCGGAACAGCAGCAGGTTGCAACAAGTGCCAATCCAATTGCCAAAAACAGGAACAGATGAAATGCTCAGGCCATCCAGGGGCTGAGAGACAGAATTGTAGTGGAAGAGAAACTTAAGAACCAGCTAAAATTCGGTGGTGCAAAGAGAAGCATGTACGATACTTGTTTTTCAACTTATCAATATTCCTCCAACTTCTCGTCTTAGTTGTGATCGCATTTGAAATCTTACGATAGATAGTGTGAGGAGAGATTTGAATCCCACCAAAACGTCTGTCATTGCTTTCCCTACACATATAATAAACCGAGCAACAAATAACAAATAACAAAAAATAATGAATCTCAATATTTCTCTTGCTCAAAACATCCACAGTTTTGAACCCGTCACAAACAGCCAACCACGCAAAGGAAGAATATCTAAGCGCATAAGGCTTATGCCAAACAAACTTGCTCCAATTAACAGCGAGGAATTCAGAGAAAAAATAATCTTTGAACGTTTTAAAATAAGGCTTTCCCTTACCAACCCATTCAGTACACCCCGGCTGGTTATCCTGAATCAGAATAGATTATATGTGTTGAATTACCGTGGGAGAAAAAGAATTTGGAAGAACCCAATTATCGAGCTGAATAAAGTTCTGCACAAAAGTAAAACTGATATTCAGTGGTTGCACAAGCTCAGAGACAGCCAAACCTCTTAACCCATGGATCCCAAAACATATCCATTTTGCAGTTAAAGCAATCACCATGGAATTTAATGTTATGTTTAATACGATCAGCTATGACACAAATAAAATTCCAGAATTAAGAAGCTTTAGAAGAAGATGGTTTCCAAGGAGAAACATGTTTATATCTAAACCAGTCAACAATCAGAGAATTAGAGATGGAAAGCCGCCAAATGAAGGTGCATCCAAATCCAAATGAGATGGATTGGATGTCAGGAATACCAAGGCCACCGACAGCAATGGGAAGACAAGTTTTCTTCCTAGCAATTAGGTGCAGCTTTTTCACTGAAGTAGAACCGTGGAAGAGAAACTTAGAGCAAAGTTTATCAATAGATTTAAAACAGTGCTTACGTAGAATTGCCGCTCTAATCCAGTAGGCAATGGTATTGGCAATGGTAAACTTCAAATATTGGATCATATCTGTAAAAGATAAAAATTTTACTTTCCAACAAGCAAGTAGAGTAGTAAATTTACTCAGTAGTGGTTGGAAGTGAGCAGCAGAAAGATTTTTGGTAAAGATAGGGAGGCCCAAATATTTGATGGTGTGATCAGACATGGAGAAGCCAAGGAGGTTGGAAACATTAGCAATGCAAGTATTCTGAGAAAAGATAATAGAACATTTAGCCTCATTAATGCTCAACCCTGAAGAAGCAGCAAAATTATCAAGTGTGGCTTTGAGATTTATAGCATTTTCCATCTTAGCCTCTCCAAACACCAACACTTCATTTGCATAAAGTAGATGATTGAAATCTGTGGAACTGCATGAGATGCCTTTAAATTTGCCATCATCAAAAGCACAAGAGAAGGCGTCCATAACAATAGTGAAGAGTAACGGAGAAAGTGGACATCCTTAATGAAGCCCAGATAAAGAGTTAAAGAACCCCTCAAGAGCACCATTGATACAAATAGAGAATGGAACGTCAATAATGCACCCTTTGATCCAAGAAATAAATTTATCAGGAAAACCTTTCACACTAAAGTATATGAATAAGAAAATCGTGAGAGACAGTGTCAAAAGCCTTCCTAATGTCTAATTTGGCACAGAAATACTTATTGCCCCGGTTCACATTAAACTCTCCCAGGATTTCAGAAGCTAACACAATATTATCAGACTCTAATCTCTTATGAATGAAACCAACTTGGCTTTTATGAATAATAAAGGGCATAACCCCCTTAAGCCTGCTTGCATCTTGTAAAAAACGTTGCAAAGGGAAATGGGGCGGTAATCCGCAATGTTGGAGGCATGAGAATGCTTGGGGATTAAAGCTATAGCAGTGGCCTTGGCACCTTTCGGAAGGTGACCAATGGAGAAGTAGTGCTTGACGGCATTGCAAACATAAAAACCAATAACATCCCAAGAAGACTTGTAGAATTCAAAGGTAAAGCTGTCCGGTCCAGAAGAAGAAGAATTATGGCCAGCAAAGACAATGTCCTTTACCTCTTCATTGGAGACCGGACCAATGAGAGGATCAATACGGTGAGCAAGAATGACAGATCCGTTAAGGATGAGGTTGTTGGAGGGGTTGGTCGGTCTAGGAGAATTGTAAATATTATTAAAGTAATAGTTGCAGTAGCAATGTCTTGATGCGAACAGAAAATTCCCTCAGAGGTTGAGAGCTCCCTGATGCGGTTAGAATTACATCTAGATTTAATTATAGCATATAAGAAGCCCAAGTCATCCTCCCGAGAAGAAAGTCATCTGGCTGTAGCTCTTTGGACAATCCAAGAAGACCAAGCCGACTGTAAATGATGGAGCACTTTGTTGATATCTCTGAGATTAGCATTAAGCATAGGGTCTAAAGGATTGGTTTGAATTAATTCAAGTAAACAGGACTGCCTATTCTCCAAATCAGCAATGTTGTCACGAATAAAACAAGAACTAGCCCAATTCCTCAAAAAAAAAAAAAGAGATTTCAAAAGCCTCAGTTTACCATAGAAGTTGGCAATATGACTACCCTCAAAATTAGAAGAGAAAGCAGATATAACATCGTCCCAATAACCTTCCATGTTGATCCAAAATTTCTTAAATTGGAATCTACTAAAATTGGGCGCAAAAGGATCACAAATAAGTACCATAGGCGAATGATCAGAGCAACCAGGAGGCTACACTTTGTAAAAAGAAGTGGGAAAAATATCCAACCAGAGTTGGTTGACAAGCATCCTATCAAGCTTAATATGAATTGGGTCCTTAGCTCTTTGATTAAACCAAATATAGTATAAGCCAATAGAAGCAAGATCAAACGTGCCAGAGCTAGAAATCCAATTGTTCATTTCTCCCAAATGACTGAAATGTGGAGGATTGCCCCCATATTTTTCTTTAGCCTCCTTGAAGCAATTAAAGTCCTCCATAATGATCCAAGGGGAAGTGATATGCTCAGACAAGGAGAAAAGCTGAAATCATAGCTCATGTCTTTCATCCAAGGAATTAGCAGCATAAACCACAGAAAATAAAAAACTAGCCAAATTACTAGAATGAAAAGAGCCATGAATTAACTGAGGTGAAGAGAGAGGACTGAAAGTGACCACATAAGAGTTCCATTTTAACCAAATCCGGCTGGGAGAAGAAGAGTTGAGATTGTTACAACTCAACACATTGGGAAAAATCTGATGGGAATTGATGAACCAAGGGTCTGAGATGTGCTGAGAGGATATTTTAGCTTCAAGAATGCAAAGCATGTCGATAGGATGAGTGGAAATCAGTTTTTTGCAAGCCATAACCTTTTCAGAACTGTTGAAGCCCCGAACATTCCAGCAGCCAATATGGGGAAGGTTCATTTAGACTTGGAGGTGTGTGCTTTTTTTGCGCTTTTAGCTCTAGAGGGCTTAGGGTTGTTGGATTTCAAGTTGAGGGTTTTATTTGGAGGGTCTTCAGGGTTGCTCTGATCATTGCTTGAAGAAGTATCCAGGGAGTCCCGAGAATTGGGGGGCTCCTCAAGTTGCAAAATAGCAAATTTGTTAGGAGAAGTGGTGAGATTGGGATGTTGTCGGGTCCAAACAGTAGTAGAGTTTGTGGGGGCTGAAATATGTGGGGGCTTCGCAATCGAATTTGATGGCAATTTATCCATGGAGGGAATAGAGTCAGATGGGGGTTGGACTGAGCAAGTAGGGAGAAGAACATCTGATGAGGAGGTATCATCAGTAGGTGAATTTAGATTAGGAATGATTTCTTTCTAATGTGGGAAACTGGTGGAGCTGTGGAAGGAGGAATGGAGGGTGAAGGGGTGAAATATGAAGCTTGAGGTTGTTATTCGGTGCATACAAGTGTTTGTAGGTTGATTAGGAGGGGTTATTTGTGGATTGATATAGGGTTGGGGGTTTGACAAAATTGTTGGCACTTTAGTGGAAGGAAGGGATCTAGACGAGCGAACTCGACTGAAACTTCTGCCACGGGTATTTGTATGTATCGAAGGTTTGGGCTGGGGGTTTTTGTGATAGAGGGAAGAAGGTTGAACAAGTGAGCCACAACCGGAACAGGGTACAGGCTTCCAATCGTAAATTACTTTGAGGGAAACGGCATCACCATCCAAGGAGATAGGAATTTCATCTGGGAGGGGGGAGGAGTTGGTAACCATAACACATACCCTTGCAAAAGTTACGCGAGTTTTCCGTGCCGTTAGAGCATCAACGGCAAGCGGGTGGCCGATAAAACTAGCGAATTTTTGAGATACCGAGCAGATTCCATACCGCAAGTGGGAGGTCCATGATTTTAATCCAAATGGGAATGGAGGTAAATTCATCCCTCTTAGGTTTGAATTTGAGGGTCCATTTCTGCAATATGAAGGGTCTACCAAAGAAAAATCATGTACCTCCCGTCCAGGCAACGTCAAAGTCTTCCAGAGAGGAAAACTTAAACAGGGAAAATCCATCATTAAGAGAGAGGAGATCAACCGAACCTTTAGGCGACCAAGATTTTTTAATAATGTTCTGTAAGCTCAGGTACGTTGGCCTCGGTCCGACTGAATATCTGACCAATGACATGTTCCAAACCAGGACTCCAAGCGTCAGTTCCTTTGCAGAAAAATGAACCTTGGAAGGAGGAGGTATAAACGAAAGGGAAAACTCATTGGCTACTGGATCTTTGTTGGTGAGGATAGAGATGAGTTTTAGGTTGGTAGGGGAAGCGAGAACCGGAGCAACAGCTCCAAGGAGGGGAAGGAAATCAAAGAGGTAAGAGGAGGAGGAAGCTATGGCAAAGGAGGTGGGGGAGGAGAAGCCCTCCCCCCAAGCAGGCGGCACGAGAGGGGAAGACTCGAGTAGCGCCAAACCCTAGTAGAGCTCACGCCAAAACTTTCCAGCGTTAAACAGACTTTCTTACATGAAGAAATATTGGATAAGACATGAAGGAAAACTAGTTCTTAAACTAATAGTGTGGAAAAACATAAAAATATCAAGCACAAAATATGTGATTACGATTTACAAAAGCACTCATTGTTGAATCCAAATTTATCCGTGGATATACTGAACTTACTAGCAAGTCAACCCAATGAGCTTAAACCTATATGTAAGAATAGAGAGTGCGGACAACGAGATAGTGGAGAAAATAGCTACATGTCTCGAACTGGCATATTATCCACTATCAATGAAAAAGAGATTTGAAGTTCTCTCAACAATTCCTCGTCACATTTTATATATAGAATTTTAAGCACTACACAAATGACTGTACAGAGAAAAAAAAAACAATTACAAACTACATGTATATAATATCTACACAGTATTACACTCTCATCTAGATATGTTTTTGCCTCATAATTGGCTAGAGGATGAAGTCAACAAACCCTTCGGCGAGTTTAATGGCATTGACTAGGCTCCGAGTGAATCTACGAGTACGCGCTGATGAGAGTTTCGGTGTGGTTGATTACTTATGTAGGAGATCTCGGGCAGCCTTAAAGAGAAAAGCGAGTGAGACATGGTGGGAATTGAGAGCTTCGGGCCAGCCAACAGTGATTGAAAGATGTAAGGTGTTCTTTAAATGGGCACTTCCTCATAGTTGAGTAGAGGAAATCTCAATGTTATGAGGGAAAAGGCAGTGATTTTGGTGGCGGTGAGTGGTGGTTTAATGAGGAACTAATATTTCTCTTTAGAACCTCACTATAAAGTTCCTCAATGATTCCCCTATCTCCTACCTCATCTTTAGAAAAACTTACTAGTTTTTTTGGGAGCTTTTGGGTGCTCGCAAATTGAGACAAGCATTCACTTAAACATTTACAGTTCCACCCAAGTGCCGCAGCACCTGAATTAATTTGGCCAAAAGACAGAAATCTCAAAGCTACAGTGCCCCATGGAAAATTTTTCCTACTTTCAAATCATGTACACAAACCTCCGAGACTTGCTCCCAAATACATTCAGACATGCACTGCATACAAAACATTCTCAGACACAAGCAAGAGGATTCAATGCAAAAATTTAGCAGAGTACATTTAACAGGTTGGGTCATAAAAAGTAGAACGATACACTATTACCATAGATGTTACAGGAGAGATATCGAGTTCGAAAATTCATCAAGAATGCTATCAGCTAGCATTCACCCCTGAAGGTTAGTTAGCGCACCTTGGATCGTCTTCATAATTCACTGTTTATGTCGGGCAATGAATTCAATGTCCTCCATATTTATTGAGAGTTCTTGTTGAAGCAGCTCATCGAGTTGGGCATATCTTCTTATCACTGACATCAAGCCACGCTCGCCGCACCTAAGAAGATGTTGAATCTAAATAGTTTGTAGATGACACATAACTTTACTAGCAAGTCAACCCGATGAATTGAAACTTACATGTAAGCATGAAGAGAGCTGAGAGAGAGAGAGAGAGAGAGAGAGAGAGAGTGTGTGTGTGTGTGTGTGTGTAGAGATAAAAAGCTACAAGTCTCAAACTAATATAGTATCCACTATCAATAAAAAAGATATTTCAATTCCTTCCAAGTTCCCATTGTTTCTCATTATCACTTATTTATAGGGTTCTAAGAGCTAGATGAAATGTTATAAAGATAAGTAAAAATTATAAGCTACAAAGAATATTTGTACACTACTACATGCAATCTAAACAAAGGTCACCTCTTGATGGGCTAAAGGATGATGAAGTAAGCCGCCCTTAGGCAAGCTTAGTGCCAATAAGTAGGCTCGAGGTGATGTTGTGAATAAGCCCAGATAAGAGTTTCGGTGTGGTAAACGACTTGTGTAGATCAAGGGAAGCCTAGAGGAGAAAGGCAAGTGAGACATAGCGGGAATGGAAAGCTTTAGGTTAGACAATAGTGATTGAATTATGTGAAGTGTTCTCCAAATAAGAATTTCCTATAGCTAAGCTGAGCGAGCTTGAATGTTCTGGGGGAGAGCTAACAAATGAGGTAGCGACGAGTTATGATTTGATAAGGAATCATCAATTCAACCCCATATAGGGTGAGTTTCTTAGTTAGCTCATATAGTAACCTTTAAAATTTAAAGGAGCAATTTTGACCTATAACAATCAAAAATTATTTCATAAGTCATTATAAGTCCAAATCATAAACCGTCCTCACCATAACATATATTGATAGGTATTTCTTTTGTTAATTTTTGTATAGTCATAACAAAATTATAAAAAGAGAGAAAAAAAATAATTAAAAAAATAATAATAACAAATTTACTATTCGATGATGTAGTTTTTGTTTGTAGCCATGAACTGTAGTGTAGATGTATTTTGATGAAATGAAAGAAATATTGTGGATGAATTTATATTCAGTACTTAAATACTTTAGTATCTATAATAGATATGATAAATCTGATAATTTTAGTATTGTTGCGTCCTGGAGTATTCGCGGCGGTAGAGAAATATAAAATTTAATGTCTTAGCGTTGAACGAAAATTCGACACGCAATCAGATAAGAGAGAGGGTGCACAATTTACTAGAGACCAAGTTTTTTATGTGGAAAGCCCCTGAAAAAAGGGGAAAAAACCACGGGGCATGGCCTAGTATAAATGAATACACTAGTATTGTAAATGATTACAAATGAGGTCCTTCCTCGTGGGAAAGCCTTAGTTTGATGTACATATTATATAGTACATTACACAGTGAGAATACAAAGCATCAATGTTGATGTGTTAGTATGGTCTGAAGGACAATAGTCGGTATGCAACGTAAGTCAGAAGGACCGTAGTCAGTGGGCGACGGAAGTTGGAAGGACTGTAGTCGGCGGGTGACATAAGTCAGAAGGAATGTAGTTGGCGAGTGACGTATGTCTGAAGGACCGTAGTCGGTGGACGACAGAGGTCGGAAGGACTGTAGTCAGCGGACGACGTAAGTCTGAAGGACCGTAGTCGGCGGACGACGGAGGTTGGAAGGACTGTAGTCGGTGGACGACGTAAGTCTGAAGGGCCGTAGTCGACGAGCGACGGAGGTCGGAAGGACTGTAGTCTGCGACGGAAGTCAGAAAGACGACGTCTGGTAGAAATCCATCAATGGGCAAAAATCCAACATCAGATAGATGTCTGGTGAAAGTCCGACAATTAGTAGAAGTCCAGTGTCAAGTAGAAATTTGGCGAAGAGCAGAGGTCCGACGTCGGGTAGAAGTCATATGTCAGTTGGTGGCCGAGGAGAACTCCGACGTTAGATGATTTCGGGAAGAACTCCAATGTTACTTGGAGTTCTGGTGAAACTCCAACATTACTTGGAAGTCGGGCGGAATTCCTATATCACTTTGAGGTTGGACAGAATTCCAGAGTCGAGCAAAACTCCGGCGTAGTTCGGAAGTCCGGCAGAATTCCGGCGTCGGCCAGAACTCTGGCGGTGGTCGAGGAGTTATTCCCTCCTATCCTTCTCTTCTCCTTCTCTTCTTCTTCCTTCTTCTTGTTTCTTGCTTCGCTCTCCCTCTCATGAGAAATGAGAGGTCTATTTATAGATTTTCTGGAGTTGCATAGCCCGTAAATAGATGAGAGATCAAGGGCAAATATGGAGTGGTTCCGGTGAACTGTTGATATTGAATTCTTCGATTGTGAACCGTTTATTAGACATTTGAAGGTCTCATTGATGTCGGAATTCGACGATCTTGGGCTCGTCGGATTCGTCTCGTCGAGTCGCTCAATTCGACTATAAGCATGTCATATTTGGAAGCCGTTTGGCAATCCAAATTATGGATTAAACCTTCCGAATGTGCTTCGGGCCTTTGATTCGGACCCATTTGGACTCAGATTAAGCTGAATTTGGTGTCGTTGGGTTCATATTTCCAAGACGATCTGTTCGACTGTAAGTTTGCTGAAATCGGAGTTAAGGTAATCCCGGATTTAATTTTTGAAGTTTTCGGCTTGATTTTACCTCGATATTCGTGCCCGATCAAGATAATTAACTGATAACATATCAAGTATGATCATATTACATTTTCACCAATCAAATTTATAGATATGAATTTTTATAGAAAGTAAATAGTAATTCAACATGCATAAAATGACAAAAAATAGCTTTCACTGGTTTCTATGACATGATATGATTAGGGTTTTATGTGTTGGTATATAGAATGACAAGGTGCACATATATGCATTAGTAACATAATATGAACATGATAGTTCCCTTACTCTGTGGGTTATTTGGTGGAGTGGGGTTTATCCGGGGATGGCTATCCCTGTTTGACTGTGGTGTTCTTTTCCAGTTATGTTTGAGTACCTGTGTAGGATTGAGCGGCACTTGGTCTTTCCTCATGAGGCGTTCTCTTTCGGTTTTATTCTGAGCTCTAATAGAGTAATAGTTATCTAACTATTGACTGATCTGGCTGTCTTTTGTGGTTGTCTGCTAATCCTCTTTTCCTGCTTGGTTAGAACATTTTTAAATTTCCTTTATTGTCTCATCTTTTTACATTGTTTTAACTTTAACAATGTTGCTTTGAGCTGCTGGATTCCTACTCTGTGGAGGGATTGGCTTCTTAGTATTATGAACTCTTATGATATTGGTTTATATGGTGGGATTGGCTTCTTAGTATTATGAACTCTTATGATATTGGTTTATTTGGTGGGATTGGCTTCTTAGTATTATGAACTCTTTTGATATTGGTTTATATGGATCTATCTTACCTTATCCTTTTAATTTGCATTCCTCTTATCTTTTTTATATTGCTAATCTAATTTTTGGTATAGTTGTCATGTTTCCTATCTTTCTTTTTTGCAGTGGACGCTGGTCAGGTTTCACTTCAATTTTGTTAGAAAGACTGAGCCTTATTGCTATCTTTGGATTTTTCTTTTTTGGATGCTTGGTTATAGCATCAGTGTTTTGCTCTTGGTTACTTTGGCCCTTTTTTTTTGTAGCTCTTTGGAGCATTAGTGTGCCGATGATTCCCTCTTTGGGCTCTGTAACCTGTTTCTTATTTTAACGCGTAAGCCCCTTTGTGGGTTAAAAAAAAAAAAACATAATATGAACATAATAAATAGATAATATAGATTATGGGTAAAAAAAAATAGGTGAGCTCAAAGTACTGAAATGTGGCACCAAACGGTGATCTGATATGAAACATCGAAGAATGATTTGATATTTATATTGAAATACGAGACAATAAGATATGCAAAATACAAGATATATATGATATGAGATATGCAAGATAAATGATATAAAGCATATGACACATCATATATGACATATTATGTTTATATTATCTAGATAAAATTAGGAAACTCTTGTAGATGAATAAGAAAATAAAAAAGATGTAATCATTTCCAATATAGATCTTAAGACGTCACAGGTATACACCCAATGGTTGTCACCCATATTGAAAGATAATGCTGATATAGTATGGGAAAACCACCCGACCACGCCAAAGGCAAGCTTAGAAATTTTATAAAAAATAAAAAATAAAAAATAAAAAAAAACTTGTCAAAAAAACCATAAACCAGCAATATTTCTAAGCATAAGCCAAACAAAAAGTGAAAAGTATCACATCATCGTTAGAAATAGCAGATTTATATAGATAAATAACAAATTTCAGAAGAACTGGAGCATCAAGTCATTTCTACAAAAAGCTGAGCCGTATCGGCAGATAACAAAATTCCAATAGATGAGTTGGAATTAGATGAGTTCAACCCAAATGCGGATAGTCTTTTTTTCAAAAAAAAAAAAAATTGTTGCTTAGAAAATTAAAATCTACTCATACAATGACTTGGCCGATTGAACTCTAAGCACTTTGCTTTTCATTTTGCAGGCCTTCTCCTCCATCTTTTCGCCCTTAGATATGGCCCTTTCAATGGCCTTCTGCTTCCGGAGGTTTTTTGATCTTTTCAAGAGCCTTGCCTTCTTGATGGTTCTAATTCCAAAATGGCGAATAGAGTATTAAGGAAAAGTAGGCTTTTGCCTTTTATCAATTAAATGAGTTTTGAAAATGAGGTTTACAATAATTGAAATTGAGGCAAAAGTAAGCAGAAAAGAACGGTAAGAAACAAAACCATGTCCTTGAAACAATATAGAGATCATTTCATCTCAAACAGAAGGAAAAAATCTATAATAGATGCTATCACGTACCCTGCGCAGAAAGGCAAGTTCCTAGGACTTTTTTTTTTTTTTACTTCAACCTCTTGCCACTGCTGCAACTTCTAGCGTAATTCCGAATTATTACTAAACAGTTTTCAGGATTTTCCACTTTTCAATTTTGAAGATCTACCTGTCTTTGCAAGCCTTCTTAGACCAGCTTGGTTGCATTGTATAGCACTGGCAAGCATTATACAGTACTTGTTATATGCACAGATTGAATCGCTCCTTTTTGGGTCACATGTTCAACAAGGATCCAGATTCCAGATTCATGCTTACGTCGGCATTGGCAAATTGAAACATATTTCAAATCAATAAAAAAAAACTCTAAATAGAAAATTTTAAAATATAGATCATAAAGAATAGCAAGCTCCCATGTATTATTCTTCTGCCATGATTTTTTCTAAATAGTGAAGAATGTAGATTTCTACGATGATGGGAATACGGAGGAGACCATGCTAGGAAATGAATGTAATGAATACTTGAGAAGCTTATAAGTTAATAGCAAGTTTTAGACGGTTAGTAAACGATTAATAGATTAGGGCAATAACATGGAATATTAGGACAAGCAAAACCAATTAAAAAATGAACAAAAGCTCATCTCCCTTGTACCTAGAATTGTGAGCATCCTCTCATTGCCCTTCTGTTCTTCTTTAAAATATCTCTAAAGTTCTAGGCAAGTTTTAAGTTGCTTAATTATCCGTGTTTTATTAATTTCTTTGATTTTCTGCAATTTCAACAGTGGGTAGGTAACAACCTGCGATTTTGATGTTTGGAAGCATAATCCTGAGAAACAAGTTCCCCTTTCTCTCACCTTTATGCTTGGTCCTGTTAACGGTTTGTTTTGCAACAATGTGATCGGATCTCAGTGCAGAAATTTAGAAATCCTTGGCTGTATTTGCAATTTTCAACGAGGATCAAGCAGTTTTTGAGAGAAATTCCTAGGCAAGCCAAAAGGGAACTTGATAATTGATAGTAAAATAGAAAAGAAACAAGAAACAATGGGTCTTCGATTCGAGAGGAAGATCCGGCTCTCCAAATCTCTAGCCGGCGGCTAGAGCCCAAACACCTAAGAAAAACTCAGAAAATCAGTAAACAATCACATAACCATAACCCTAATCCCTTCCCTCCTATTAGAGAATACAAATTAAAAGCATAATTACTGAACAGCCCTTCCCTGATTAATTTCCCTCTAAAACCGAACCCTTCTCTTTGAATTTGTCATCAATGCAGGGGCCCCACAAGCGGGGGCTGGCTGCTCCCTTTCCGTCTGGAGCAAACGAGGAGCCGGCCCTGGTTCGGGGCCGGCTGGACCAATCCATCTTGGACCACTTTATCAATACCCCTCCTCCCAAAGAATCACATTGTCCTCAAGGTGGAAGGATGAAAACTGGTGTTTCATCCACTCATACGGCTCCCAAGTTGCGTCGTACTTCGGTAGGCTTTTCCACTTAATCAGAACTTCATTACTTCCTCCTTCCCCCTGCCATACTCATACCAACTCCAGTGATTCCAAAATCACCTCTAAACCCCCAGTCACCATCAAGGGTAGCTCTGCAATTGAGGTGTGCTCCCCTATGGCTCTTCTGAACTGTGATACGTGTAAACCAGATGTATGGTCGCAGTCAGCGGTAGCTGCAGTAAATATGCCACTGCTCTGATCCTCTCAACTATCTCGAAAGGGCCAAAGTATCGCGGGGCTAGCTTCTCGTTCCTCCTATTAGCCACGGTTCGTTGCCTATAGGGACAAATCTTCAAATACACATTATCCCCTATCTCAAACTAAATGTCTTTCTTGTGCTCATCAGCATGTCTTTTCTTAATATGTTGGACTCTCAATAAATGTCTTTTCAGTTCTTCTAATATCTTGTCCCGCTCCTCTAGGTATTGCTCCACTGAAAAGACTGATGCGCTACCCTGCTCAAAGTGCACCGAGAGAGGTGGATCCCTGCCATACAATGCTTTGAAAGGAGTCATCTGGGACGTCAAATGATACGAAATGTTGTACCAATATTCTACCCACGCCAACCACTTAGCCCACATCTGAGGTGTCTCTGAAGCAAAACATCACAGATGTGTCTTTAAACTCTTGATAACCACCTCCGTATGAACATCAATTTGAGGATGGTAAGCGATGCTCCTCTTAAGTACAGTCCCCTGCAACATGAGCAACTCCCTCCGAAAGTGACAGAGGAACACCTTGTCTCGATCAAACACTATAAACTTGGCTATCCCATGTAATTTGACCACCTCTCTAATAAAAGCTAATGCCACTGTTATTGTCAAGTAAGGATATCGTAGAGGGGTGAAATGAACATATTTGCTTAGCCTATCCACTATCACCAAAATAATTGTGAACCCTTCAGATCATGGTAGCCCGTCTATGAAATCCATGAAAAATCTTCCCATACTCTGCCTGGGAGTGCCAATTGTTATATTAGCCCTCATGGAGCCATTGTCATATACTTGTTTCACTAACACACCTCACATCTAGTCACCATCTCCTCGATATCCTTGTGCATCACGTTCCAGTATAATTCAACAACCAATCTTCTATGTCTTTTGTAATCCCGAATGGCCCACAACAGCATTCCCGTGAAACTCTTGTAACAAGTGTGGGATATGAATTGAGGTTTGTGGCAGCACAAATCTCCCATGATATAGAAGTCTCTCCCCATCTACTGAATAGCCCGGATGGCTACTCCCCATCTTTCAATAGGTCCTCTCTGATCTTTCTCAGCTCCTAATCCTGCGCACTCTCTTTCTCAACCCTGATCTATACTTGTATGTCATAAATCATATCCCATCAACTTTGATAGCCACCTATGATGCTCCTAAATCACCATCCTCAGCTCTAGTAAGTACTTCTAACTCCTCTAGTCAGTCCTGATAAATGAAATGTCGACCCAGTAGGCATTGGCGTCGCTTCTCCATCTCACAAACTAACTTCAACCTCACTGTGGTCGTCAACCCCTGGCTGAAGTAGACTATGGGTCTGTGATTTTGCATGAGCATTGCCTCCAACCCATACCCTGAAGCATTAGTCTCCACCACGAACATCTGGCTGAAATTGGGTAATGCTAGGACCTAAAATGTGGTCATGGTTGTCTTTAATCTCTTAAAGGCCTGAGTAGTTGCCTCTCCCCACAAAAAGCTATCCTTATTTAGTTGCTCTGTCAACGGCCTAGCAATAGTGCTATATCCATTCACAAGTATCCTGTAGTATCCTGTCAATCCTAAGAATCCCCTTAACTCCCTAAGGTTCCTAGGTAGAGGCCACTTCAACATTGCCTCAATCTTGGCCTTATCAGCAATCACCGCTTCCTGGGATACCATGTACCTCAAGTATTCCACACTCGCTTGTGCAAAACAACACTTCTTCAAATTGGCCCTCAGCCGATGCTCCTATCACACTTCTAAGACCGCCCTTAAATGTTTTAAATGCTCATTGTTGGTCTTGCTATATTCCAAGATGTCATCAAAGAAAACCAGGACAAACTTCCTGAGGTAAGCTCGACATACCTAGCTCATGAGGGACTAGAAAGTAGCAGGGGGCTTGGTAAGACCAAACGGCATCAATAAGAACTCATAATGTCCCTCGTATGTCCCGAATGCTATCTTCGAAACATCTTCCTCTGTCATCTGAAACTAATGATATCCAGACTTTGGGTCGATCTTCATGAATATTGACGCTCCACAAAGCTCATCTAGTAGCTCATCTATCACTAGAATAGGAAACTTGTCTGGCACAGTCTCCTTATTCAGCGCTCGATAATCCACACAAAATCACCAACTCAAAAACAAGGAGGAGGCAAGAAAAGGGCTCACGCTCGGCCTAATGATCCCAGCCTATAACATTTCCCAAATCAGCTTTCTTCAATCTCATCCTTCTGGATCTTGGGATAGTGGTAAGATCTTAAAGGCCGGAGTAACTGCCTCTCCCCACAAAAAGCTATCCTTATTTAGCTGCTTTGTCAACGACCAAGCAATAGTGTTATATCCATTCACAAGTATCATGTAGTATCCTGTCAATCCTAGGAATCCTCTTAACTCACTCAGGTTCCTAAGTAGAGGCCACTTCAACATTGCCTCGATCTTGGCCTTATCGGCTAACACCCCTTCCTGGGATACCACATGTCGTGCCCCAAGTATTCCACACTCGCCTTACGCCTCACCCTATTTATATATTTTTTTATTAAAACTTATCAAAATCATAAACTAAAGCCTTGAACAAATCACGCCTTGATGCACCCCGGAGCCACAACAACTTCCTCTCGACTGTCTCGATCTCCAGTCCGACGTTTTTGTCGCAGCCACCATCCTCCTCTAAAATTTTTTTAGTAATATCTCATCTTTATGTTAATAAAAAATATTTATGAAAAAGGAAGAAGACTGAATAAATGAAAAAGCATATTGAGAATCATTTGACTTCATAGGCTAAGACAGGGGAGAGATCAATTTTTTATGACGATGACTCAAATAAAGATCACCTCGAGGATGACTGTGAATATTTTTTTAAGTTTTTGCCAACAATTTAAGCTTTCTTTAGGAATTAAATGTGGACAAGGAACTGAGAAAGAATGAATTTAGAATTAAACTTGATGTTATATGATACTTTTATGCAATTCTTGTACTTAATATTATTTTCTCTTGTAAAATTTAAATTTTAATTATATTCACGTAATTTATCATTAGTCACTTTACAATTGTGCAATTTTTTTGCTTCATATGTATGTCAATTTGTTACTTCATAGTTTAATAGAAAGTTAATATGTCATA